CCCCAAAACCCCAAAACCCCAAAACCCCGGCTATACTAAATCAAAATGGATTGATAAACTTGATATTAGATTAAATTTCCATAGTTTATATAATTACAGCATCCTTATTCAGATTTATCTTATTACCTTATTAGTTGATATATGAAAGAGAGCTCACTACCTTCTAACAAAGGTCCTGAATAGATCAGCCAGTTTTTAAAATACCTTCCCACCTTTGCTCATGAACATTATTCCAAGGTACATCAAAATATTACTTGATTGACTTCCTTCTTATTATCCCAAAGTTGCAAGTTGGCACTTTTTAGAGTAATTTTCAACAAGTAAACTGAGCAAATTCTTAGATCCATTTAATTCTATTGATTTTCTAACGAACCTCTCCATTTAAGTATTTTAAATAGTGTTAATATGGTCTATTTATTAATTAGATACTGCAACAGTTTAAAAGTTCATGAACTATTACTAAAGTTATTCAAGACTATAGTATATAAATGCTGATAAGGCTAATTGCTTTATAATTTTGTAGAGACCAGATTTTACAGTTTGCAATGATGGGGTTAATCGAAGGCATCTATGATGCAATTTTATATTAGATTGAATTTTATCTTTTACTTCGCAACTTTCCTCATATTAGAAATTAAACTAGTTTTGAGGTTCACAAATAACAAATACTTGCTCAGTTGAAGATTGATAATTTGCACTGTTAGCATCTTAAAAACTATCATAACTATCAGACATAAATTAATCTCTATGTCTAGGACTTTACTCCATAGTAGAGACTGATGCCCTTGAATATATACATTCAAACGAGGGTTTTGGTGCGTAAAGTATATTAGATGAAGACTCATGAGTAAACTCCTCTTGCTAAGCAAATGCTTCCGCTTTAATTTATTGAATCTCTAGATCAAGTTAAGGACCTTCGAGTTCGTATTTTACTTTATCCTTAATATAAAGCAAGGTCTCTTCAATGTTGTTATCTTTGCAGAGTTTAGAGATGAAATTAACATCGTTCATTAAAGTTTTATACAAACTGTATATTTTCTGCAGAAGACCTTCTTACCCACCTATTTTTTCTAGCCTTTGAAAAATGAAATCATCCTATTGCTAAAGATTATCATTCAGAATTTTCATCTTGCGCAATTTTTTAATTAAGAATTAAACATCACTTTGTTTTTGCGGGCTCGCATTTCTCTTCTTTGTATTGGCCGTATCAAAGTTCTCTTAGTTATCATGATTCTTAGGCTTATACTTAAGCACTCTAGGCTTTGTTTTAGAAATAGATTATCGATCTTTTTTAGCTGATTCAGACTTCTTGAATCATTTCAAAGTTTGCAAAATAACCTCAAGGAAATGTCTTTTCTTGAGTACTATTTATTCAACAAGATTTTAAATCTGCAATATTTGTTACTCTTACATAAACTGAAACTGGTAAATTCTAATGAAAATTGTGAATGGACTGCTAGTTATGAATTTAATGAGGGGTATATGGATAGAAAGTTACTTTAAATAAATTTAAAATAATTAATAATAATCATGATGAGCTAGAATAACAATAAAAATGGGCTCTTGAAGCAAAATAACAATAATAACACCAATATGAAGATTATTTTTTCAGAGGATGAGTTATTTGATCTCAAGAATTCCGATGTGAGTGAGTAGAAAAACGACTTTAATTACAGTGTTCCTTAGGATTAAATAACATACCCAAACCTTTATGACCATAGCTTAAACTACTCAATTTTACCTATAGACAAAACTCAAATATCAGTTATTAGGCAATAATCCAGATTAAGAAATAAAGCATTTAGGATTAAAACTTCGATATAAAACTCAAAAAATAATTCTCCAGAGTAAGCAAGAGCCATTAGAAATATAAAAGAACCCAGGTACTAAAAGTTGCCTAATGAAGATCTTATGAGGGAAGCATACCAATTTAATGATAAGGAGTTGAGATCCATTATAATGCAAATACAGAAAGAGCGATAATAGTCTTATGAGTTAGGTATGCGGAAGTTAAAATCCTTAGATCTAAAGCAAGCCAACACTTTAGGCTTAATAAAATAAAGAAAATAAACAGCAATAATTTAGAGTCTGGAGTTCGGAAAAGATTTCAGAGATAAGACTGGGATGCTAGGTTTCCGTAATTTTAACTCTAAAATCGTGGCATCTCCACAGCATGATGCGATTGCAACTGGTGGGGCACAAAGAATAAGTCTAGAGCCCCTCAAGTCATTCAGAAAGTACAAGTTCACAAATCAAAGGAAAAGCATGCCTCAAACACAAACCTCTATATTTTACCCAAACCGTTTCGATCCTTTAAATAATACTGGTGCTAAGATCTAAACAACTCAGTAGCAAATGTAGAGGAATGACTTTTAATAGTAATAACAATTATTGTAGTAGTAAAAGGAGAATGATAGAGAGTAATTGAGTGGTTGGTAAGACAAAACTCACTTGATATAAAAGCAAACAGCACCTGTGATTAGTAATCTCAGTACTCCTAAGCAGAATAACTGGGTCACTGATAGATGGAGATAGAAATTCAATTAGCAAAATGTAAGAAATATTCATAAAATAGTATTAGAGATGAGGACGCTTCATGATCCCGATTTTGTATTAGATAGTAGATGAGGCCAATGTACTATTTGATTTTTTGGATTTTGAATTCGGGTATATTTGGTACGAATTATAAGCTTAATATCACTATCATTTAAAATTATAATTTTTTTCCTAATTTTATTAACTTTAAATTATTTTAAAGATGAAATTAACAATCGAAAAACTTAAGCATATCGATTAGCATTATAAATCTTCAGTAGCACTAAATCTGGATAACCAAGGTCTCAGAGATATAGACATATTAGGACAAGAATGTGATTAACTTCAATTTCTCAGCCTTAAGTATAATCAAATAGCAAGTCTAAAACCCCTTCAAAGTCTTAATAATCTCTGGGTAGTTGACTTATAACAGAACTAAGTAAAAATACAAAATCTTATCTCAAAGTTATTAATTGGCAATTTATAGATTCAAAATTTCTATGGACTATCCTAGTTTAAAGTTCTGGGATCTCTGTCACTCACGATAAATAATACAAATATAAATTAACTTAAATAGCTTAGAGATGTGTTTATTATTTAGCTAAGCATTGTTGGCCCAGTGGATCGCAAATTCATTCTGAAAACCCTGCCTAGTAAGTATTTTTTTATCAATTACTTATAAAAATATATAATTAGAGGTATGGGTTCTAAATGATAAATACATAACTCTACCAGAAAGAAGAGAATCATAAGCTAATCAGAGTTCAATTTCTATACTTGAGTAGAGTTAGCAAAAGATTGGTGGAGATAATTAAAACAGTAATGACATCATTTTGCCAATTTAAATGTATATGAATGAGAGAGCTTTGGAATTTTTAGAACATTTTGGAACTCTTAACTAACAGAAAAAATACTATTTCTGTAAAGAAGAAGTCCCATTCGATAGTTCAGATTTTTATGACTTTGAGGAGAAAAAATTCTACTATCTTGTTTCTCATACTGATTATTGCTCAGAGCTAGAATCTATGAACAATGTGTAAAAAAGATATCTAAATCAACAACTTAATTTTAGCTAAGTGAATTAGAGCTCTCAAAGCCCAAAGTTTAGGAAGAATAACACACTTAAAGGAGCATATATTCCTAAGATACACTAGATATATTTGCCCAAATGGATGCAGTTAAGTTACTCTAATAAATTGCTTTTGGTTGTATTCTTGCATTCTTATCTTGAAGGACTCATTTCTCAAGAAGTCCTTAATGTAGGTCACATTTTTAGTAAATTTTCTATAGCAAATGCTTGAACTAATTGTCAAAGATACTTAAAATGGAAATAATAGACCAGGAAGCATTAATTAAGAAATAAAATCTCTGATTTACAACATTCCTGCTCATCTTTAAATGGGAATAACCATTTATTTGAGATAGGATCTAATCAATAATCTTTAAGAGGAGGAACTATAAGAGACCTAAACCTAATTGCCTAATATCAATCAGAGTAATCAATAACATATGCCAAACTTACATTAAGATGTAAGTAGTCCAATGTCATTTGGTGGAGGAATAGGCTAAGATACCTTAAAATCGCCTAAGAATTTAGGGGCTCATTATGATCCTTCAAATTTAAGAGTTGGGCCAGAGATGAATTCGCTCAGTAGCAGCAATAATAGATTTGGTACTTATCAAACTTTTTCAACAAACTCAGGACTTGAAAGAATGAATTTCGATAAAATGTTATAGATTCTTGAGTGTCTTAATATCAATAACCTTATCTATAAGTTTTCGGAAGTTTAGAAAAATATAGAACAATAAATATCAAATGATTTGAATGCCTCAACTGATCGAATTAAAAAACCACATCCATATAAAACTACTTAAGTTTAAGCTAATAAGTAAATTAGTATTCCAAAAATGGTAGATTTTCCAAAAAAAGAACTCGAAAGAGATGGAGATCATGAGGTTTTGGAGATACTGAAAGAAAGAAGAAGAGCTATTTGTGAATTCATATTAAAAATAATGAGTAGTTATAAAATCATAGATGTAATTATCTTTCTTTAACTTTATATAGAGTTACTATGTGGAAGGATCAATGGGTAATTTGAAGAATATTTTATCAATTATGGAGGAGACATAAGATAAAAATAAAATAAAGTTTACCTTCTTTGAAAAATATGGATAATAGCAAGCTGTTAAAGAATAAAATTCGAAAGCTGCTAATGCTAATGCTAATCATATTAAAAAGCATATAAATAAAGTAAATGACACAAAGGAAGAAATTTAATCTAAAAAATTGCCACCAGTCAGCAGTAGTCAATAAAATCAAAATTAGAGCCAATAAGCAGATAATGTTTTTATGATAGTGGGATAAAGATAAAAATCAAGGGATAAGAATGATTCTTAGCTTTAAAATTTCAAAGCCTAAAAAGTCTATAATTAGCATAAACCTTCAACAGAAGAACACGATAGAAAGCCAGTTAATCTTAAGGAAAATATAGAAAGTGAAGAGTTATAAAGAAGAACTGCAGATATTGATGGAAGAACTAATAATAATAATAATTCATCTAAAATTATGGATCGAGATGAACAATTCTAATAGAATCCTACTATAAGTTCATAGGATAAGAGGGAGGATAGTAGAACAAATATTTAGCCAATTAAAGTTCCAAGTGTCTTAGGATGGCCATCTGGTAGTACACCTCCAGTAATGCCCTCTGATAATAATTCAGAGAAAACCACTAAAAGATTGGGAACAGGAAATAAGAATGGAAGAAAGTAGAGTGTTAATGGGTAGCCAATCATGCCAATTCATAGTCAGTCGCAACTCAAATTTCAACTTAATTCTCGGAGAGCAGAGATAGAATAGAACTCTATTATAGATATAGGGAAAACAAGCAACAAAAAGGTTGTATTTAATCAATATCTTTAAAACCAATAGGCAGGTAAAACTACAGTCAATTAATTCAATCCCTTAAGTAACCCTTAAATTTAAAAGTCTAAGTCGGGATTCTCTTTCAAATCTAACGATTACACAGTAGTTGGTCTTAATTCTAATTAGCACAATGTTGGGATAAGTGCTTAAAAAAGCTAAAGTAATACAATGAATTCAATGTTACCAAAATTCCAGTCTATAAATCAAATAGACCAGCAGTAATAGGCAACATCTGGATAACTAGGACTACCTCCTAGCACATTAAGTTACTATAACAACAATGGAGGATAGATTTAAAACAATTTGGAATCTATTTAGTCTAGTTCATACTTCAGTAATAATATGCCAACCTTGTATCCCATGTAAAGAGATGCAATTTCTAAAAAAGTTCTGAAAAGTAAAGATAAAAATAAAGCCAATGATTTCTTGAAAGTTTATTCATCTAGAAGAGATAGTTAAGATCCTAATACACAAAGAGAAAATAATCACACTGCAGAAGGAGGCTAATTACCAACATTGAAGAAAAGTCAATCTGTAGCATAGATTGGAAGTGCACCCTTCAAATATACCAGGATATACTAAGACTCTTTAGTAGCTTATAATGATTAAAGAGGTTAGTCTGCAATCAAATCTCAAAAATCCTTAGCAGATTTACACTAAGTTCAAGTTAGAACTCGTACAATCAATGATATGGGTGGATAGAGTTCACTGCTAAAATCTAAGTATCGAGAATTCGGAAGCAGCTTTAAGATGCCTACACCATTTACTGATAATAGAAATCTATCTGAAAAATCTCTTCAAATGAGTCATCATCAATCTATCTTAGGATAAGCTTCTAATTACATCCTTGTAGAGGGGTAAAAGAAAAAGGGATAAGTAAGAACAAGGGATATGTGGGCTGGAATACACAGAACTCAAGATGTAGTTAAATGCTTCACCAACAATGAGCATGTCAAGAGAATTATCTCAAGAGAGGGCACTCCCTGGGTTAAACATTCTATGATACCTTCCTTCTAAAATCGAAAAGATCCATTCGTGCAGAAATATCAGATACTGCTCAACCATGTTTAGAGAGAAAAGAATGTGATTTAGATGGCTGTAAAGGAGCGTGAGAAGATGGTTAATGAATTGCAAGAACAGTAATAGCAAATGGCTCTCGTGCAAGCCTAGAACCCAGTTGAGACATACTCGAATAAACTTAAGTTTCACTTTGATAATTACATTAAAGCCCTAGCACTTGACAAGCAACTATTCTCTCTGGAAAATGTGGATGAAGAACCAACTGAAAAGTCTATTCTAGATTACTATAAAGACAAAAGTAAGAGTGAAGACATTTCAAAGAATCTCAATTTAGCTTTGGAAAATGATGCAAGCCAGAATGTAGGAGATGCAGGTAATTCCTATTTTATTACTCAGAAAGATAAGTTTATGTGATTAGCATTTATTATTCTCTATGATAAATGTGTCTCTATTTCTCTTTAAGGGGTTTTGGGGTTTTGGGGTTTTGGGG